CCATGGTACATTCAGTACCCTTCTCCAGCACCACAGCTCAAAAGCATCCACTCTCCTTCTGTCCTCCCTAGTCATTGTCCAACTCTCTGATGCATAACAAGCGATTGCAAAGACCATGGCCTGTATCAGGCACACCTAAATCTCCAGAGAGACACTGTTGCTCCTGAGTACCTTAGAGAGGTCCCTAACAGCAGATTTTCCCATCGCGATACGCTTCTTGATTTCCTGACTGCTGGTGCCAAGAGTGTTGACTGTGGAGCCGAGCAAACTGAAGCTGTAAACACTCTCAATCTCTTCGTCATCCATCCTGACGCTCCCAATTGGTCCAGTGGCGAGAATCTTTGTCTTCTTGACATCGAGCCTCAGTCCATACTGAAGGCTGCAGTCCTTGACCCTTCGCAGCAAGTGCATGAGGTCCTCCTCAGTTTCAGCAAGCAAGGTTGTGTCATCTGCATAATGGAGATTGTTGATAGATCTTCCACCAATCCTGATGCCACAATTCTCCTCATAGAGCCCAGCCTCTCGGATAATCTGCTCTGCATACATGTTGAAAAGGTATGGAGACAGGACACATCCCTGGGGTACACCCTTCCCAATTTTGAACCATGCAGTGTTACCCTGCTCTGTTCTGACTAATGCCTCTTGGTCCAAGTATAGGTTTCGTATTAGCACAATTAAATGTTCTGGGATTCCCATTCTTCTCAGAATCAGCCACAGTTTGTTATGATCCACACAGTCAAATGCCTTTGCATAATCAATGAAACACAGATAGACATTCTTCTGGTATTCTCTGCTTTCAGCCAAGATCCATCTAACATCAGCAACAATATCTCTAGTACCATGACCCCTTCTAAACCCAGCCTGGACTTCCGGCAGTTCTCTGCTGATGTGCTGTTCTCATCGCTTTTGGATGATCTTCAGTAGAATCTTGCTTGCATGTGAAATCAATGACACTGTTCTGTAGTTTCCACACTCAGTTGGGTCACCTTTCTTTGGAATGGGAGCAAATATAGATCTCTTCCAGTCAGTTGGCCAAGTGGTTGTTCTCTAGATTTCTTGGCACAACTTGGTGAGCACATCCAGGGCAACATCTGTTATCTGGAATACTTCAATTGGTGTATCATCTATTCCTGGGGCCTTATTTTTTGCTATTTCCTTCAAAGCAGCTTGAACTTCTTCCTTTATCACCATAGGGTCTTGCTTATATGTTATTTCTTTAAATTCCTCTGTATCTGCCAATTCCTTTCTTTATAATGACTCAGTATATTCCTTCTATCTTCTTTTAATACTTCCTGGATCTAGAAAATATAGGCATGATTTAACTGTCAATTAATATATGGTCAAATCTTATAACAAAATGTAGGTCATATATATGCTTTCGTTTTCAGGTATAGAATTCAGCCAGTCAGAGAAAGAGACATCAGAATAGAGTCCTATATTTATGGTCTTAGAGTGTTAATGCTAGAAGGAGTATATCTACCTCTGAGCAAAATATTCAACTATATTTCAATAATTTTCTGGAAGAAAGAATTACATTTTCTGAGAGGATAATGTCTAGAGGAAAAGACGTGCCAGAACTCACAGGGTTACAGAGCTAAAAATCAAATGTCAGCAAACACTGTATCATAAGAGTCAAGCAAACACATCCATGTGTGAAATATGTCCTTGCTATTTATACTTGTGGTTTGTATAACGGGATGGTGTGAAAGCCTTGTAGTTAAAGCATATTAAAATTGAAGGTTGTAGATTCTTCTACACTTTCTCCCTAAACTTATGTGTGCGTATGTGTGTTAGAAAGTGCTTTCAATTTAGGAACTTTTAACAAAATATGCTGTGGAAAGAGAGGAAAAGTGAGAAAGGGGCCTGAAATATCCTTTTTAGAAATGCTACTTAGTACACTAACAAAAAGGTATTAAAGAGAAAAATTTTTATTCTAAAAATGTAAGACTCATGTACTTATTTCTATATACAAAAATACAATGAACTATAGTGTGTTACATTTCAGTGGTGACTGGTTTCTAGATCAAAGTTACCCATATATCTCCATGCTGGTATGAATTGATGAAACAAATTTTTACAGCTTGTATGGTCTTACTTAAGATATATACATAAACATAAAACAACAAAATGGAAAAATTCTATGTCTATATAAGTTGTTGAATTGTTAGACATGTTAACAGAAAAGCTTAAAATTACAATTGAATTTTACTTTGTGTACTCTGTGCATATGTGCGTGTGCACGTGTGTGTACATATGAGTATTTTACAGGTAGCTCTGATGACCTTGTTGTTGTTGTTAAATGCCGTCGAGTCTAGCAAGACTCATAGAGACCCTATGCACAAAAGTCCAGAACCCTGTTCTATCACTATTGTCGTTTCTCTAAGTTCATAGAGTTTCTGGAGGCATGCTGTTTAGGAAGTGGATGCCACTCCTGCTTCAAAGCCTGTCTTAATCTGGGAGCTTCACTAAACACTGTCCACTGTGGGTAAACTTTATGGTGTTTGGCACATTAATGGTACAGCATCAATAGGAAACTAGGCTGCTAATTCAAAGTCTTTCCATTACTGGCAGCTTGCATCCACCGGTCTCTCTGTAGGAGAAAGAAGTGCAGGCTCCTTCACTATGACTTATAGCCTCTCAAAACCCACTGAAAGTTCAACTCTGAGTTGATTCTGACTGACAGCAATGAGTTAAGAATGGGCAAGTATATGCCCAGTTGAATTTCTAGTTAAAAACTTTATAAATTACAATATTTACCCTAAGCATTGACCGTTAAAAAGCTAGCCATCTGCCATGACTATCTGACATTGAATGAGTTCATGTGGAATTCAGAATTTTGGGTTTTGAGCATGGAAATTTAGTGGTAAAGAATTGTGATGCCAATCCAAAGGTGCACAGTTTGAATCCACCAGCTGCTTTATTAGAGAAATATGGGTAATCGATGGGCAATCTAGTTTTGTGCAAGTTACTGCCTCTGAAAACCCACTAGAGAGTCAGCTATGGATTGGTTCCAAGTCAACATTAAATAACAATTGTATAGATTCTTACCATGGTTTATTGTACTATATAACCTTAAGTGATGAATCACAATTTAAAAGAAAGAAAATATTAAAATGAACATAAGAACAAAATCTTAAATTTGCCTGTGAATTAGAATAGCCGAAGCAAATTCACAATATGATGAAATAAAAGAGTTGAGCAAAAAATTTCAAATGGTTATCTATGAAAACAAAATATTATAACTTGCAAATACCTATAGTTATAAAAACATAAGGAGAGTCATACTCTGTATTTTTCTGGCTAAAATAAATGAAGACAACCTTCAAGCCTTGGTATTAACAACATAACTGAATGGTTGATATTAAATGTCTTTTAGTTAGTTTCAAGTAAGTGTAACTCCTTGTACCATACAACAGAACCGTGTGTTGTCCTGATAATCACTACCTCATGGCTCCCATTGTTGCAACTACTGTGTCAATTCTTCTTGATCTTTCTCTTTTTTTTCTTGACCTAATATTTTGTCCTTCTCGAGTGACAAATCATTCCTGATAAAATGTTCAAAGTATCTTAAGATGATGTCTTATATTTAAGGTCCATGTCTTCCAAAGCAGATATGTATGTTCTGTTCATCTAAGATTCAAAGCGTGTGCTGAAAAGAAAAAAAATAAAAGAAAGAAAAAGAGGTTTAAGAAAATAAGGAGATCAAATTCTCCTTGAGACAGCAGTCTTAAAACCCTAAGTGTCTTTGCTTTGGGAATATATTTACTGATGACATTCTCTCTCTCTCCCTTCTTCCCTCTCCCTCTCCCTCTCCATTGCCAATAAGTTAGAGTCAATTCCAGCATTTTGGCAATGAGTTTGTTTCCTTTGTGTTTCAGGTCAGAATAATGATGGTAAGAATCTATCATGCGTTTTGCCTAACGGTAAAGAAAACCCTTTCTTGTCAAATATTTTATTTAATCTTTCTAAGACTGTTTGATGCTAATTACATAGAGAGAATTTTCTATCATGTTCTAATATCAGCTCTAAAACTTTCTAGTTATATTAAGTTGGACAAATTATTTAATATCTCAGTGTCTCAGTGGTAATTTAAAACATTAACATTATTAATTTCAATGAAGATTCTGCAATAACAAACATTTTTAGGATTTTTCTGGGAATATAATAGCCCAATATGCCATTAGAACCATGTTTGACACATGATAGATTTTCACAATTATCATTAATGTTATTGAAAATATATTAATGAAAGAAGTTTTTAAGTATTTCACTCCCCCCATCTTGTGCTACTTAAAGATTTATGTAAATATAATTTCCTCTTGTTTTTCATTTCCTTGGAAATTTTATCTAAGACAGCATCCATTAATATCAAGTATGCTACCTTCTACAGGAGCTAGAGATATTTTGGTCGAGGTCATTTTATTAGACATTATCTTTTCATATAATGTGATGAAACAACAGTACAATAGTCTCTTTATATGTATTTAATGGTGGATATTTCTATATTATTACCAGGTTAGCAGTTAAAAGCTTTCCTTAGTTTCCATAATGTGACTTCTCTATTCATAGAAATACATAGATTCCACTTCTGCCATGGCCTAAGTTCCTTTGCAGCTGTTTCCAGTGGCCTCTCCCTCTGACTCCAATCAATTCCTCCCACCGCTCCTTTAAGGAGCCTCTCACGGCTTGAAAAAGTTTTAATATTCAGCAGGTTAAGGAAACCCATGGTCAGCTTTAGAATTTTAGTCTCTGCTGAGCTTTCAAGGTGTCAAGACCTTAAAATAATATGAACAGCAGGAGTACTAAATCTTTCATTATTTCCACTTTCCCCTTGAGCATACTGACTTTGCAATAAAGAAGCTGTCATTTACACTCTTCTTTATTGCAAGGTGGGTAATAGCTACAGGGAGAAAAATAAGGAACTGTGTCAAGTGAACCTGACTGCCATTATGATTAATGTGTAATCATTGCACATTTGCATCTACTCTTTCCGTATACAGGTACTTCATAGACTGGAAGAGTGATGGGGACAGCTACTTTACAATAGATGGAACTGACGGAACCATTGCTACTAATGAATTACTAGACAGAGAAAGCACTGCGCAGTATAATTTCTCCATAATTGCGAGTAAAGTTAGTAAGTATGGCATGGATGGAATCAATGTTATACTGCAGTTCTTTGGATTTAATGCTCTAAATGAGTCCCAGCTGAGGTATTTCTCATTTTTTTGACTAACAGCTAAGTGCTCTCCTGGGGAGACTAAAAAAAAAAATCTGTTCCTTTTTGTCATAGCATAAGTCCAGAGCAACTGTGACAGCTGCCAGTAAGTTCTGTTTGCAAGATTGCATGGATATATATATAGCAATGCATCTCATTGTGTGACCTCTTTTATTTCTACATTGTACGCTGGAAAATGCATTCGAGTCAAAGATCCTTCCTTCACAATATACTTGTATATATCATTGGGATCTTCAAAGTCTGGACAGGTTATAGTTATAAGGCGTTGAAATGCACCCAACTCATAGCTGATCCCCCAGAGGGATTTTAGAATCTATTACTGCATAGGAGATCGTCCCTTTTTCCATCAAGGAGCAGCTGGAGGATTCAAACTACATTCTTTGGGTTGACAGCAAACTCTTCACCCACCAGGCCAGGCCACCAGGGCTTTTTTTAAAAAAACTAGATGGGGAAATATAATTAGCATATAAAATTACTCATAATTTAATGGTCTAAATGTTTCTTTAGTGCTTTCTTCATGAGAATGTACTTATTTTAATGTTATTATTCAGTGAAAGTTCCCGTAGCAATTAGGATGCCCATTTGACAATTTCTACGCACATTGTTCAGTGACTTTAGTCATGCTTTGCACAATATATCAACAATCTTTTTGTTTGTTTGATAATCTGTCCATTTCCAGAATTTGTTTCCCTTTTTTTTTATCTACATATTTTTGAGTGATCTGGGGCCTTTTGATCCCATAAGGTTGTTTAGGCAGGGTGTGTGTGTGTGTGTGTGTGTGTGTGTGTGTGTGCGCGTGCGTGTGTGCGTGCGTGTTTTAAGCTGGGTTGTCATGATAGTAATAGTCATCATTTTGTGTTCCAATATATTATTTCACTAGAAGTGACCTCAGGGTATACTTTCAGTTCAAGGTTCAAAGAATATTTCAGCAGGGTACTTTCAAGAATTCTTCTAAAGTGACCCAGTGAATCTAACTTTTTAAGGATTTGAGTTCTATTCTATGTTCTATCACCATTTACTTGTTGTTTGTAATTGAGTATCATTGTAAAACGAGTTCAAAGTGATTCCTTATGGGCTTTGCACAAATATGATATGATTATGAATAATTATGCCTTCTGTTTGGTTTCTACTTGGTCTAGAAGAGAATCATCCAGAATTCTTGTTTATTTGTAGATAATTAGAGATATTATCATAACTTCTGAAAGTAATGCATTAGGGTGCAGATATGGCTCCGGCCAAAGTTTTTTAAAGTATAATGCAGTTAGATTGATCAGAATAGATGTGTCCCTAACGTGATACATGTCGGCCAGACCCTGGAAGAAAGTATTGGAAGTGGGCAGTGTGTGACTGTGGCCCAGCTGCATGTGTGGAGTCTTTGTATGGGTATGCCTTGGGGCTAGAAATGATGAGGCTAATGACATGATGCTAGGAAGAGTTCAATAAGTCTGGTGGGTCATTCTTACTCAGTTCACTTTTCTTTAAATTTCACTCATGTGCTAGAACTCTAATTCCATGCATGTCAGTGTCTGCTTCCTGGTTTTGGTGGCTCATTTTTTAACCAGATGGACATATTTCTTTAAAAAAATTACTAGGTGTTCTGTTTGTGAATGTCAGGGAAATATCTTCTGATTATATTTCATTTTCTTGCTATTTCCTTGGGTGCAAATGCATAATCATTTAGCATTTAGTTTTACCTTTCAAAGTAGAGAACAGCTAAACAGTAAACATTTCTGTTGAGGGCTTTCTGAGTTGGCCTGAACTCAGAGAGATGTAAAGGTGAAGTAGTTTTGTTTATTTTCAACAATTTCCCCTAACAGGAAGAGCCAGCCTTCTTCTTCCTGACCCACCCCCTTCTTCTCAGTCCTCACTGGGACAAATTCACTCCTTCGTTGCTGTTGCATCAGAACAGAGGAACAGCTGACCCTCTGGCCATTTTCAGAGACTGTAAATCACAGGGCAGAGATTACTCATTATTCACCAACAGAGCAGCTGGTGGATTCAAACCATGTCTTTCAAACCGGTGGTGTATCTCTTTATCCACCAGGCCTCCAAAGCTCCCTCTCTGTCCTCAAAGAGATCTAAAATCCATTTCTTGGCACTCAGGTGGTTGTGATTGCTAGAAATTGGTTTGGTATAGGAGACCATGCAGGTTCCACAGTGCTTCCCCAAACACTTCCCTTTGGCGTTCTGACTTGTCATGTAAGAAGCCTGATGACCCGAGGCTGCCGTGCCAGACACCCACGTGTAAGTCCTCTGGTTCTGAAAATTTTGTTTTACAACCATGCTTGCCAATGACTGAAACCATTGTGGAACGTCTTAGTCTGTAGAGAGTTGTGCTGTCAACCTCTAAGCGTCACTTCTCTGCTGCTCTGAATCCATAACAAGCAGCCCCATGAGAGAAGACTGGGCAATCTCTTCCCACGTGAATTACAGCCTCAGAAATGCAGCGTTAACGAAAAGTAAATTCTGACCTGACGGAAGTGAGTTTTAGGGACCCCTGGTGACCTAGTGGTAAGAAGCTATGTTGCAATCTCAAAAGCACTAGGTTCAAATCCACTAGCCGTTCTGTGGGAGAAGGATGGACAATCTCCTTCCAAGTAATTAGTGCCTCCAGAAAACCCACCAGAGGGTGTGCTCTGGGTCTGCTCCGACTCCAGAATGCACCACTGCCACCACCACAACAGTGGCCTAATTGTAAGGCCCTGCACTACCAACCTGAAAGCACATGGTTTGAATCCATCAGGTTCTCTTTGGGAGAAAAATGAGCAGTATCTTCCCGTGTGATTTACTGCCTCTGAAAACCTACTGGAAGGTCAGCTCTGAGTTGGTTCTGACTTGCTGTTGCTCCTGTTGATAATATGAGCAATTCAGTCCATTTACTTACTGCATATAACAAAAATAACCTGTCTCAATGCTAGTTGAATTGGGGGAAAAAATCATCCAGCGAGCGTGCTCTGAATATTCAGTCAGAAAATCATAAGATCTATGAAAGTGGTGATCAAACTTCTGTTCCCTCCCATGCCATTAACTGCCTCTGAAAAACAACTGGAGGGTGAGCTATAGGTTAATCCCTACTTGATACACAACAACAACGACAGTTAATAGTATGTGTTACATGGCACTATAACCAGTAAGAAGGGATGTATGATTGGGTATTGTTGTCATGATGGGAGTCCAGAACGAGGGCTGCATAGTAGAGTGGACTTGCGGGGAGGGATTGTTTAACAATGAAAGAGTTTTACTTTTCAAAGAGTAAACTGAGGGAGGGAGGTTGGGCAGGGGAAAAAATGCAACAATGAATGAATGGAAATTCAAAGTCTCTGTAAAGTTTAATTAAAATTAATGAATTTTAAAAATCAGAAGAAAAAAGAATGAATAGAATGGCAATATAAATTATAACTTTGCTCAGTTAAAAATTAAGAGGAACAGTAAATTAATTCTGTGCCTGACTCAGAGGCAAGTATGTTTCCCTCTACACACATGCAAAGGAACTTTCGTGGAGTAGTTAATAATAAATTACCCTGCTAACCCATAAATTGACACCTCTTTTGTGGTTTCAATCCACCAGCAGTTCCATGGACATCTTTCCATGGGGAAAGATGGACAATCTCCTTCCATGCAATTTAGAGCTTCTCAAAATCTGCTGGAGGTTCAGGAGAGCCATTTTCAACTTGATGGTTCATAGGGATGTGCACACACATACACACACAGACAGACACAGACACACAGACACACACACTATTCAAAGCCTGCATCTTCAGGTGTGTTGAAATAGAAAGGATAAATATGATTTAAAAAAAAATGTTTAAGTTTCTCTTTATCTCCTTCCACATAATATGCCATTAATTACCAGGATTCTAGGACTGAGAGGAAGTGAATGTAAAGACAGGTAATTAAATGTTGATTCTGTTCCTGATGATATTATGTAAGTTCTAGGATTTGGGCATTTGGGAGCTTAATAAGTATAGAACCTTCATGAGAGGATTCAGTAATAAAATTTACTACAATACATTTCACTGTAGGGCAAAACTCATAGGGACCCTATATACATGAGACTCAAACTTAGTTCTGCAGTATCTTCATAATTTTTTTATTTGAATCCATTGTTGAATTGTTGTACCATGAATTTCCAGAGCAAAAAAAAAAAATCTGTCTTGAAATGAGCATAACAAGAATGCTCTTCAGAAGAAAGGAGGGTGAGACGTTTTCTCTTGTCCTTTGGACTTGTTATCTGGAGGGACTAGTTCCTGGAAAAGGTTTTTGAGTCTGATATAGTGGAGGGTGGATAAAAAGAGAAAGTCCTCCAGCAAGATGAATTGACACAGTGACTTCAAATAGACAATTAAGAATATTTAGTTGCCACTGAAACCATCACAGAGTTGGATGGCATTTGTTGTAGCAAGGAGCTTGAACTTTAATCATATAGAAATTGAAAGATTAATTTGGAAGCAAATGCCATTGAACATTGAAAGTTCAGATTTTTTTAGAAAAATGTATTTAATGAAGCCTAATGCATTTATTTTAAAAAAGTATATTTAATGAAGCCTGACATTTGTTAGGAAGCTTTGATGGTTTAGTCCACAGGGAGCTGAACAGATAAGCTCTCCGGTAGTTTGAATCAATCAGAGCCTCTGTAGAAGAAAAAGGAGCAATCTCCCGTGTAATTGACAGCCTCAGAAAGTCAACTTGAGGGTCATCTATGAGTGGTTCAGACTCAACGGAAATGATTTTGGAATGCTTTGGTCGAGGGACTGCAGGTATAGTGTTTTATGGGTTGTACTTCTAACTGAAAGGCCAGGAGTCCAATCTACCAACAGGTCCAATAAAGAAAAGGAGTCATCTCTTATAAAGTTTACCCCTTCTGAAGCCTGATAACCTGTCCCTTTGGCTCTGAACCA